ACTATTTAGAGGACGTCAATTAAAGCAACGTGCCTCCCTTTAAGGTACAGCCACGTGATCGGCACGAGGCTTTGTCAAAAATGCTGCAATCATGCTGAAATCATGCTGCAATCATGCTGCATCATTTCATTGTTCACAAATTTCTCTTATTAGGACCCCGCTGCTTTCGTATATGGCATATTATAAGTATTGGCGAGAATAAGTTTTCAATAAGACAAAGACTTTAAATTTGTTAATAAAAATGAAGTTTTAACTTATTCAAATATATTTTGATGCGACTGCAATACTATCGATATGAGATATTAAAAAGCGGTTGTGTATTTATCATTAAATGCCTTTTTTATGGGACAAGAGGCAAACGAGCAACCGGGTCAGTTTGATTAAATTGTATATTGCCGACCTTTCAGGGAATGGTACACTCTTTTCTTGAAGGCTCCTAAGTTGTATCAGTTTGGAAATGGTTCCACAAAGAGGTAATGTGCGGTTTTAAGTGCCTCAAAAAGCGTTGTGTTGTGGAACGCCTGGCGTCGATATGAAAAGGGTGGAATTTTATATTCTGCCTCGACGTCCGATGATGGAATTGACCAGATTCAATCGCTTGTAATACGGAGATAGATGTTACCTTAAAAAAGACCACAATACACGAATGACTGAGATCATAATTAATTAAAGATGACGTTGACTTATTTTGTAATGTTTTATATTTTAACAAAAAAACAACAGATCAAAACTTAGCTATTAGCGTTTTAAGATTATGTATCTTTGTAATAGGCTTTTTATATGAAATTCCGTCACCCGCCGAATTGAACGCTCATCGACAGATTTAGGGTGGGGCCTGACCAAGCTCCGAATCTATATTCACCTCGAGCCATGCCGCGACGATGATTACAGGACTTTATGGTAATACAATTTTGGCTATTTCACTTTCGTTGATTTTTTGTGACACTTTCTTGCTTTAGCGTGATTGGCAGCGCTGCGTGGACGGAATATTATTGTACTTATGTAGATGTTGTATTATTATTAAATTTAATAGAAGAGATGTTTGACTTTTCCCTTGAAAAGGCTTTACTTAACTGTAAAAGATTCATATAATGTAAAGAAGTTAAGATATATTGTTTAAATTAAAAAATGATAGAAAAAGACGTCAAAAGCGATTACTAGCTTTTGAAATGATAACAAATAGTTGTTCCTGGATTGGAATGATGCAAGAAAAGCAGGTTAACATAGCGAAAAATTGCGAATTCTGTTTCGCGTATCTGTTTGTCAAAAGAAATAGCATCGTCATTGAAGCACGTTAAAAGGATTTACGTAAAACCGAATGTTGAGATTTTCCGATGGGCCAAAGAATCGCTTACTCTCATATAATAAATCGTTGAGGCACAAAAAATTGTGACTATTTTGATTTGGGCGCTGGCAGAGGCGGGATTTATGCCAAGTATCATTCCTTCCGCCTTTCAATATTCAGCTCGAAGGCTTTTCGTTGTTTTCTTCATGAAATATTGATAAAAAAATATAAAGAAAGTATCATAAACGATCAGCAATGTTGGTACTAGTACAGTAAACAACCTTTTCATCGAGAATAAAGTATTTCATAAGAGATATAAATACAAATCCCTGATAAAGTTTAATATTTTACTATGTCGCTGTATTTTTCGACTAAGTCCCCCTGGTTCCTTCATACGTGCCAAATTATAAAGAAAGGGCGACAATACCAAAAATTGGCGAAGACAATTTCTGATCTCAAACACTATGAGGTTCTCAATTCATTTTTGTATGAGGTAGCTGAAATATAATATTGAAAAAAAAAATAAACCTATAAACAATATTATATTAATTGTAATTTGAAAATATCGCATTTAATAATAAAGTAAATTTTGCTCGCTCGTAGCTAAATATTATTGTTGACAGCTCGATGGTTCTATTTAAAGTTTTCTTGTTTGCAAACGGAACCCAAAAAAACTTTTTAAATTTCCGCCGAAGTTTCCTTAAAATGTCTACCATCACGTTACTTAACACGCCCTAAAAGAATTTGCGAATGTAATGCGTCTCTAAATAAATTATACGTTAATGTGGAACTTCTGTTCTTAGTGTATTTTGAAAGTAAAAAGAATTTTTGCTTTAGTCAATTTATTTAACTTTGATTTTTGATTTATTTTTGTAAAGTTACGCTAAATAGTTTTTCGTGACATTTTTGTGGAGAGTTTAAAAATGCTCTTATTTTCACATTCGGATAACATTTGTTATAATGTATATATAACAGAAAAATGTTTACGCTTATTATTTGTAAAAAAATATTAAATTAAAAGCAATCACATTTAGGTCAAATAATGAATATGTAATGTTATCCGAAACTTAACAAATTAGTTTATGTAAGTTATCATTTTTGTGAATAAAACAACGTAACCTAAAGTGGAATTGCTTCACATATCCAATTATCTGTTCCTGTATTCTAAATGGAATTCTCGAGCATTTTCAATCTCTCCAAATGATCAAGAGCGTCGTGAATAAATTCAAAACATCATTATTTATCGAAGATATTATGTCGCGAAATAGATGAGTGTCATCAAATATTCTCCAAGGGACAAAGGGCGGATACACAGTCTACACAACAAGCAAATACTAATTTTATTACATTTACTGACTGAGCTGCCTGTACTGTTTAGCGCTACATTATTTAGGGATTCTTTAATGCATCAAAAACACATACCTTTGTGTTTTCAAAAAGTTGGTGTTTGTATTCAATTTTTTGGTTAAAATCTCGTAAAATCTTTAAATTTACCTACTGTTGAAACGTTTAACTGTGGGGTGTCTCGAAGAAAATCACCGTAATGGGGCGCGTAGGGAGAAAAGAAATATTTGTGATATTACTTGGATATCACTATCAATCGAGGTACCCTGCTTTCAATTTTGTGGGGCAAAGTGCCCATTATTATGGATTTAATAGTCGATGCAATTATTTTTATTTGTCACGGGCCGTTAGGGGGAAGCATTAACGGTTAGACGAATATGCTATCAATATTAAATATACAATTATAGCGGCTAAGGTTATTATTAGATATATACATCTATTTAATTGGTCACTAATCATTTGAAAGAAAGGAAATGTTCAGTTGCCTTCCTAAGTAGTGCTCCTCAATGTTCCAATGAGAAAATTTTCTCAAAAAGGAACCAAATAATTTGTAAATGCATTGATTTACACTTCCACTGTGCCCTCGACACGTAAACGCCAAATGGCAGATCTCGAGAGGGCGAGAACTGATTTTGGGCTCCCGAGCAATTTCAATTTATTTGCTACGTTTTTACAACGCAGAGGTTAAGTTTGGGTAATAAAGATGATAGACTATAAAAAAGTAGAGAATAAAAGTAATGCTGTAACTCTGTTATTGTAAATGGAAGAGGTATTTAGAGCACTGTCGATCTTGATGATTAACACTTAAACTAGTGCTACCCCGTTTCTCCGAAGGTATGTTGAGTGAATCGAGGATATGACTTATTATAATAGTCATACATACATACCTTGTTTGTCAAACAATGTTTGTTTTCAGTGACATTTGATGCGTAAAATAAAAATACTTCTACTGTTTTAATCGAAACATATTTATGCATAGTGTATCAAATAAAAAATAAGTTTTGTTGTTTTTTATAATGAATTTAATTAAAGTAAAGGCAGTAAACGTAGTAATAGTAATTAGTAGGAGTCCTTTTCTGGTCCAGGTGTCATCTTTTCAAAGTGTAATAAATATGAGTTCCACTGCTACTACTATCATTATTCATCAAAATAAATAATGATTTCAGCACCCGTTTTTAATTATGCAAAATCTGTTCCATTAATTTTGCCACCGCTCGCCGTGAAAATAAACATTATCGTTACGTAATGTAAAAATGAGACATCATTTAATACATTAAAAATATTGAATATACCTACTTATTAAAACTTAAAATATGTACTTATTTTTTTGTTAGTATGAAAATAGGTGAAAAAGGGATCGTACCTAAATAATTTATTCTAAAGTTATTCTTAAAATCGCGTGACATTATAATACGTTAAAAATATAGATTTTGCATAAATTAAAAAAAATCTTAGTAATATTATAAAGCGGAATATAGCTCTATCTTGCAATTATATATATATTACGTTAGACAGATGACACAATCTTTTTCAATTCACTGAGATCTCGTCTCCTTTGTTCCACCTCCAAAATTGGACAGGTTTTCGCGGAAATTTCATTTTTTACTGTCACCGTTGGGAGATGTTAAATAATGAAGTAAGAACTTGTACACACGAATTATAGATATAATATTTTATATTTATACGTAAAAATATTATGAATTGATACATAATATTGAATGTTAGTATTGAGCACTGTAAGTACATCACTACTATTACAAGATTCTGTTGCGCCTACGCAACGGTAATCTTATTGAAACACTTTACATTCTGATAAGAAAGAGGACTACTTTTGATTCGATGATACAACCAATTAAATGACAGATGCATTTTTACTAGATATTTTGTGTGCGAGAGGGCTGCTCTGTCGACGCCGACAAAGGCAAAATTATGAGAAACGGTAACGATTCACTTTTAGTACTTAGTGAAATTGGATCCTTTACAGCCATCGGTAGGTGTAATGAAATTTGTAAGATCTATCGAAAGATTGGAAGCCTTTCAGCCCGATGAATAATTTGTATTGTTATCTGACTTCCAGATTTAGTCATATTTATTTACTAAAAATTAAGATTAAAACAGAATATTATTTAAATACCCACATATCTCACTAAACTAAACTGTACTATGAATAAAAATTGTAGTTTCCATACATAAAAATCACTAGTTGTGCAGTACCTAATCGTTTCTTACTTGCCACCTGTTTTATCATATTTGGCGTAGCAAATAAGATAAAGAGCTTTGTTGTCTGATCCGCTACATTCTAAGCCCCATTTATCCACACAGTCGATTATCAATTCAACCCGTTCACTGCTAGTTGGATGTCAATATTCATTTACGCGGCCACGGCGGCGGCGTGCGTGATTTGCCAATCGCTGCCCCGTCGCCCGTAGCTGTTCAGCGGCGTGATTCGAATATCAAAATGTAGTGTTGAATGCTGCCGTGGGGGTGCTGGATGGCTTGGTAAACCGAATGCAGTTAATAATTCTTGGGCACGTTCAGGGTTAAAATCGTCTGGGTCCGTGAGACTTGTCACTCGAAATGTAAATAATTTAATCGGATACGTTAAGGATGTCCCGAATTGTCTATGGCGCAAGTGAGATTCATCTTCGTTAAACATAGTGTGATGTATCCATTTTTTGTTTCAGGTTTTTCACACTACATGGGGGACATGGATATGCAGGAATACAAATTGTGTGGCGTTACAGACAGGTAATATTAGTAAAATAATAATTCACAATTTTACATACTTATTAAATTATTGTGTTACCCTTGAATACCTTAAACATTGCTCCGGATTTATAAACATTTCAAATAAGATTTGTCGCAAGAAACAATATAATAAATAAAAGAGCAGATCTTATTATTCGCAGAGAACAAAAAGCGTACTTGCAAAAATAACGATAAAGAAAAAAGTAATAAAAACCTCTTGAATAATGCTAAAAGCACTCGCGTTGTGATATTAAAGATGTGATGTCGAGACTTGACGAGTCTTGAAGATAGTGTATGAACACTCGCTGCTTTATAGTGGTTTTATGAGTTGTTAGGAAAAGAAAAATAATATGCCGCGGAGCATCAAAGGAATGCACTGAAATGGGATTAAAGTTTACAAAGACTTATGGACTACACTTCATTTTATTACTTACCTTACTATTATGCTTTTGTTTTTAAACGAAGATCACACGCGTATCACACGCGGTAGTTTCTTTTTCTACATATATATATATATATATATATATATTGTGAAACACATTTACTAATAATTTAATATGATTATATTTATATTGATTTCTTGAAAAATACAAAATCATTTCTCACTTAGTAATGAAATCCTAACATATCTTTCAAACTCAAGCAAAACCTATAAAAACCTACATATACCTACCTAAAAGAAGACAAAAATGTATCATCCATCTTGTTTCATTTTTCCTCCCCTCGTACCGATACGTCAAAGTGCAATATCATCAAATCACTGTAAGAGAAGTTTCATGATTTGGTTGGTGGGGTAAAATATTACTCGGGAGAGTTTAACTTGTACCGGCCCAAGTTATTAGGACTGTTCACCAGTGTTCACCAACCGACGTGCTTTTTTATATTAATGTACGTACCCATTGCCAGCGTTATTGAAAAATTTACCTTTACCTAATCTTGATTATCCGATTATCTTATCTTATAGGAAGTTTGGATATCGTGAAACAATAAATATTTTTTACTTACAAATTATTTATGCAGCTTATCATTATGTTTTTAAAAAGTCGATGTCAGATAAATGATTTAATAAAAAACAATTAGAAGTACACCTATGCAGTATGCACTTAACCGCTTATCTTTTGATGTGAAACATTGTCTTAATCTTTGATAAAGGTACCTTGTGCCGAGTCATTCAAGACGTATTTCATGGTACGTCGACTCACGAGATGATACTGTCGGATATATGATCTCTGAGAGTAACAGATGTATTATGTACTGCACTCGAAGTATATCCTCATTCAATAACACGCGCTTACGTGATGTTTTTCTTTCTTTATTTTAAAGTGGTAAAATATGATAATAACACAAAAAATGTATGTCCTTTTATATATGTTACCTATAAAAAACAGTACGTACTGTTTTGTTTCACTATTAGCAAAGGTTCCAACAAAAAAAAATCATAATGGTTCCAATGAAACGTCCTAGGTACTTCGCATTGTTTTAAGGGACTAATAACGTCGCAATAAACTCTCAAAACATTTACAATTTATAGATAATGTTGTAAAAAACTTATGTACATATAACTTATAATATTAATTCTAATCTTAACACCTTTAAAGCTATTACGGGCGTCATTGGCTCGGGCTAATCTAACACAACGCCACACAAACCCTGCACTATAAGCAGCCATGCGTTTACGCACGCCCGACTGTCTCAGCCAATGATGCATGAGACCCACCACACACGGGTTTCACGACTGGCCGAAGACCCGCTGAGGCGATGGAACTGGGCTGTTTGTACTATTCTTAGCTGTGATCGGTGGCCTTAATTTTATGGTTTAAATTATAAGCGGGCAGCGAATATAATATAATCTGTATGGGATGAGAATCATTGATGTATTACTTGTAATGTTGTTAGTTATAAATTTACAATAATATTGTATTATATGAAACAATCGCGTCGTATGAACATTATTTAAAGTAATATCGTGTTCTGTACTGACTAGTGTTCTACATACTAAGTATACAACGTCTACAAATTGCTACGCCGTAGACTGGTAGCGACCCGTAGCAGTTCTGTCGTATAATGAGTAAACATCCGTAACAATAACCCGTCATCATCAATGTTGTGAAAAATTATCGCTCCATCTATTATCCTAGACTACAAATTATTACCACAAAGGGCAAAGCGGTAGGTTTAACGGCATCGACTGCTTATATAGCTAGTAATGTAGCTTACACTAGTTTTAATCCTTATGCAATATGCGCAATCCTTATGCGTAACGTTCGATTAAAAATATAAGTTTCTGAAGTTTTTTTTTAGAAATGTAAAATTTTATATACGTTTAAATTTATAATTGGAATAATAAATATATTATTATTGTAATGTACATTCAATTTTAATACCTTGAAACGATTTAATACGATTAAAAATAAGTGCAATCTTCCTCTAGATCGATAACCAATCTTAGCCGGACGGCTTAGTGTTACCTCTTGTGATTAGTCGGTTAACTGCTATCGTCGGATGCCAATAAAATTTGTAGTCTACGAGTACAATCAACACTTAATTTTCTTTCGTGCTTTATCTTTGTTTTTATCACAAGACAATAAAACTTAACTATTACAAAACACATTTAAATCATTTTTTAAAAATGCATTCTAATAATTGGAAGGATCAGAAAGATCGCCTTTTTAGGGACAATGCCGAGCGAGTAAAGGTACCGGAAAAGGCGCGTTAGGACCGGAGCCAATTCAGAAGCACTATTGGAGGGATGTCATCAGGCCCGCTTGCGTGAACAGTACAGTGCTCCAGACCACGCAATGATCCGATAAACCCGATGGCAGATCAACAGAGACTTGGTAGTTTTCCTAATGTGAAGTAGAAGGGCCAACAAAGAAGGTTTATGTGGATGGTCCACATCTGATATTCACGAAATCACAGGGACCATTTGTTTTAAGTTGTATGCTAAAGCAAAGTTATGAAAGATCATCCCGAGTGATCTGTGGTTTCAGAGCATTGCCACAACGCCTGCCCACAATGTATCTCGATTTCAGCGGTCGAAACCCTTTCGAGCAGGGAATCTGTAGCTATTTGGATGTGCTTGATGAGTCGGTCTGTTTTGTCGTTTCGTCTATATGACCTATACAGGCACGCGCAGAATCGTAGTCAGAGCCAGATGTTAGATAGGTCCGTTCCTTCAAGCGTCCCAATGCGACGAGAACAGACATCCTCTCTGACATACACACAAACTTCCGCCCGTGACACAAAGGAATGTTCCAATTTGTACCCCGCGTAGGAAAGGTGGTAGGTATAAGCCGGGATATTTGAGTATTAGTTCCAAAGAGCAAGGCCGGCTTAGCAGTCTCCAAAGTGTAGTGGGCACCGTGGATGTTATAATTAAACTCCCTTACATTTGTGAAGTCTACGGCGAGTGTGAAAGAGGGCGACTCGGATAGTTTAATAGAACACAGAGTTGCCTCCCCTAAAACACGAAGAGCAGCCTGTGCGTCCGTTGTGTGGAGGGATATTTTCCACCGCTAGCGCGGGTCACACATGCGACAGCTACTCGTACTAGTAGCTAGAGACTACCCTGGGAGATGGACGGACTATCGGAATCTCACTCACCGCATGAAACGCGAATACAATAAGGCTATTGCATCACTTCACGCCGATTTTATAAATAGCCATATATATATATAACATGGAGTTTAAATCGATATTTCCTAATAAACTTTGTTTTTTAAATATTTTGTAAATTCGCGATTAAATCTTTTAAAGAAGTTTTATGAAAAGGTGAGGTACTCGCATAAACCAATAAAAATATTATTTGATATCCATTTATTTTATCTGGTAGATCTAGACAAATTATGTTCGTGATTATTTTTATCAAAGGGAATAAAACACAGTTAAGTAAAGCATGTATAAAATGTATCAAAATTTTTGTGAAGTACCCGACGTCGAGGACTCTATCCAACTTTATTTACTTATATTATATTATTATAGGAGAACTTGTCGTCTTGTCTCGGGCAACATGCTATTGAAATGCTTTGAGGTCCTTAAATAGCTAACCCCTTGGTTCGTTAAGTTTCATTGTTTCTTTATGTCATATATTTACAGATTCTAGAACGTCTAGCTTTCATGTCATTTGCGTTCCCTGTTCATTGCCAGTGTGTGAGTCCAGAAAGATAATTTAAAAGAAAGGCCTTTGACACTAATCAGCAAAGGCTTGTAATCGCTCCATGAGAGCATAGTTTTAATTATCCCTTCCAATATCAAAAGCTTTGTTGTCGGCGAGGTAGCATTTCGCACGTAATATCGACCTTCTGTTTTCACTTATCTGATATTAAATCACGTTTTCCAAACGCTCGGGGCGGGTCAATTTTCAATTACATTGGAGGCTATTAACACTGTTAGGTATGACACTGAATGTGAGAGTTCTGAGGCCTCGGGCTGGATGTAAAGGTGTGTGCATTTGAGAACTACGGTGTATAAACCTTTTTTAAGATAAAACTGTTAACATGCGTGATCGCGTTCAAAATTGGAAATATTTGATTCCTTAATTAGCACCCCTTTATGGCTCCATTTTTAATAGATGTTTCAAATAAAAAGTAATATAATGTAAAATTATCAATTACGGAGGGAATCGTATACTCTTTAACTAATTTGGTAATATATTAAAATGAATAAACCAATCATTCATACATCACTAAATTTTATAAGTTTACCAGTAAAACGAAGTGAAGTTTTAAAAATAGCCAACCTCAAACTAATTAACCGGTCATGTAATGTCATTATACATCTCTATATCTTAATTTGGTGAAATAAGTTGTACGGTCACGAGTTTTATTACATATATATCACAACCCTATGTGAATTATAACGAACAGTCCAATTATGCATTGAAAATTTTAATTTTTAGAACATTGAAAT